CATTTTATGCAATTCTGGATGTATAGTTATTAATTTATGGATGTGTAGTTATGCAATTATGGATGTACAGTTATTAACTTATGGATGTGCAGTTATGCAATTCTGAATTTATAGTTATGCAATTATAGATGTGTAGTTTTGCAATTATGGATTTACAGTTATGCAATTATGGATTTATAGTTATGCAATTATGGATGTGTAGTTATGCAATTATGGATGTGTGGTTTTGCAATTATGGATTTATAGTTATGCAATTATGGATTTATAGTTATGCAATTATGGATGTGTAGTTATGCAATTCTGGATGTGTAGTTTTGCAATCATGGAGTTATAGTTATGCAATTATGGATGTGTAGTTATCCAATTATGGATGTGTAGTTATGAAATTATGGATGTGTAGTTATGCAATTCTTTAACATGCTCTTCTGTAATTTTGTAGTTGTTCTACTTCGACCGTATGGGGTTCAAAGGCATGGTGGTCAACCGAACGTACCCTACAATAAAAGCTTGGACAAAAGTGCTTGTACGTAAGAGGGTATCTGCTGAACTAAAGTCAGGGGGATTTGGAAAGGGGAAAGTTATCCCTAGAATTCAAAAGCCTACCACCACTGCAGCAACATCCTCACCCAGACCTGCACCTCCTGCTGCTGCAATATCCAGACCGATACCTAGCCCTGATGCTACACTAACCATTCCAACTCCAACTGTGCCACTCTCTAATGTTGATAGAGTGACACGTGTGCTTCAAAGGCTTACCACAGATGTACTGGAATTTGGTGAGGTCATGTCCGATATTGGGAAGCAAGGGGCACTAGTTTGAGGTTATGAAGAAGGTTTTTTCGGGGATCTCCACAATGCTGAGTGCTACAAGCACGATTCAACCCACTTCCAGCCCAACTGCCTCACAACTAGATGACATATTCTTTGGAAGTGATAGCTTCACGGCAGCGGTTGATTCTTTGGTGGAGGCCTTTGAAAACACAAGAAAAAAATATGGAACTAGATCCTCCATCATTTGAGCTACTTGGACACTCTACTCCAACCCCAACACAATCACAAGAGCAACCTTTGGAAGCCCTGGTTCAGAAAATTGCGAGGAGTGCAGGAGTGTCAACCTCGAAGGAGAAGGAAGCAACTCCATCACTAATTAGAGTTCCATTTGAAAAATCCACCACTCCTACTACCCCTGCTGCCACAACTGCCCATGCTGCTGCTGAGATTGATGAGTTTGATAAGTAGATTAATGCTTTCTTATGTATGTTTAAACTATGAATATGATGTTTGATTGATAAGAATTTATGAATATGAAGTTTGATTATTATGAATATGTTCTTTTTCATCTATTGACAATGATTGTTAAAATTATGGATATATAGTTCTAAAATTATGAATATATAGTTTACAGATTATGGATGTGTAGTTATGCAATTCTGGATCTATACTTATGAAGTTATGAATTTGTAGTTATGCAATTCTGGATGTATAGTTATTAGTTTATGGATGTGTATTTATGAATATATAGTATCATAACTGCCTATGTTTTTTTGTAAACAACATTGCTATGCAAGAGAGTGAATCTGATGTCGAAGATGTCACTGTAAGGAAGAGACCCGTGAGGAAATTCAAAAACATCCACTTTATTTGAGATCACCATACTGGACGAAAAATAAAGGCTCCATACATAATGCAACTGCCAAAGAGAAAGTAATTTCAAACTACGCATTCTTGGAAGGCTCAGATGAGCACCCAATAGGGTATGTTTCCATCCACATATTTATTAAAAAAAAAAAAAACAAAATTAATTACTTAAGTATTTTACATGAATTTTATTTATTTATTTATGTTTTTTTTTTATTTGTGTTGTAGAGAGATATTGATCAGTTATGGTGACTACTTCTTGACAAGGCATGACTTTGCCACTCTAAGCGATGGTGAGATATTAAGCAGCTTCTTGGATGTATGGTCCTTACGTTTTACTTTGCTAAACACATGCCGTGCAGTTGGGGACACAAAGCGAGTCTACTTCTCCATACTAGTACATGTAAGTGTTTTTTTTTTTTTTACTTGCAAACACCTATTTTAAAAATTTGAATTTACATTAAGGGGGTGTTTGGTTGGATGGAAGTCAAATTCCATGGAAAATGTTTTCCTAAAAGTGTAGGAAAATGTTGTTTTATGTTGTTTGGTTGGATGGAAAATCTTTTCCATACGAAGTTGAATTCCTAAAGTTGAAAGAAAACAAAATCCTAGCAAGACATTGGTATTTTGTTTTCCAAAGGATTTGGGAAGAAAGTATTACAATATTGGACTATTTTACCCTCTTCAAAGTTTATTAATTACACATGTATATATTATTGTTAAGGGCATATTGGTCTTTATATTCATAATTCCTTACCATTCCAAACCCAACCAAACAATAGAATTCATATTCCCAGTAATTTCTTTTCCACCAACCAAACAATGGAATCCATTTTCCTGGTAATTTGTTTTCCATGGAATTTGAATTCCATTTCCCATCAAATATTTTCCAGCGAACCAAACGGGCTGTAAGAGTTATGGATGTGTATTTGTGCAATTCTGGATGTGTAGTTATGCAATTCTGGATGTGTAGTTATGAAATTCTGGATGTGTAGCTATGTAATTCTGGATGTCTAGCTATGCAATTCTGGATGTGTAGCTTTATAATTTTCAAAGTATAGTATATGAATTATGAATACTCATTCCTACATTTGTGTATACTGCATGTCCCCCCCCCCCCCCCCCCCATAGCTGCAAATTGATCTGAACAACCAATGGATGAAGGATCTCCCAATTGACATAAAGAAATAGAATTTCAATGAATGATTGAGATACGAAATAGCTAGCTTTGGGAACCTAGATATCAGTGATACAGAGTTGGTAAGTTCTATTACCCATGTCCAATTTGACTTTATCATGTCCAAAAAATATTAACATTGCTTTAACTTTGAATTGGAATTAGATATTTTTCCCAGTTCATCGCCATGGTCACTACTTCGTGGTCTGCATCAACACCAAAGAACATAAAGTACAAGTCATAGACAATAAAGAGTTGCCAGATGATTTTCAGAGAGTGATAAATATGGCCATTGTCCACACTTGTTGGTAAATTGAGAAAAAAAACTTGAACTTCTTATCATTACCTATATATTAACTTTAAAGCATTATCAACACTAAACTAATTTTTTGTCCAGATTGCATCATTCAAAGAGTACCTTAAAGCAGAATGTTACTCCTTATATGTGAGTTTGCAAAATGTTGCAATAGAGTTCCTTAAGTTGGACTGGAGAAACGCTGAAAATGTCACGATTGTGGCATATATGTACTCAGACATATGGAGACATACCAAGGGACTCCAAAAAATTGGCAGCCAGGATTCAAAAAGAACATGCGCATAAATGTAAGAGTAAAATAAATATATTACTTTCAAAATACATTAAAAAAATGCAGTAAACTAATTATTTAATGTTCTTTATTTACAGGCGAGCTTCATATATGAATTGAGAGCGAAATATGCTGCAAATCTCATCAAGTGGAGGATGAACACGGTTAGAGGACAGGTTTTAAAAGCGGCCAAGGGTGTCTCCAAGAAGAAATGAATGAACAAAGATCATTGACATGTTGACTGTATTTTGTGAATGTGAAACTTTATGTGTTCTATGTTAACAAGATGACTAATATTTTTACATGTTAATTATCTCTCTCTAGGGTTTGCTAGAGTTCTCTCCACCCCTAGGGTTTGCTAGGTCATCCCGTGCGTTCTTCCTGGTCTTTCTCCGGCGTTACTTTCCAGCTTTAGCTTTAGCTTCACGAACTGCTCTCCATGGCGACGTTTGCTACTGTCGATGGTGTCGCAAGGCTAACCACGCGGTGGGCTGATTTAGTTCTGGAGGACGAAGAGGATCGAATTTTCGATCCGGACGAAGGCGGTGCCGACGAGCAGCAGGCAGAAGCTGAACAGATGGGGGGGGGGGGGGTTGTTGGTAAGTTCCTACCAATAAGCTCATTAAGGCGGAGTATATGCGACAAGTTATGGCTTCTTTTTGGCAGCCTGTACGAGGGGTTCAGGTTTCGGAAATCCAACCGAACCTGTTTCTTTTTGTGTTCAATCATGAGACGGATGTGCAGTATGTGTTGGAAGAGGGACCGTGGTCGTTTGATAATCATACGTTGGTATGCAGAAGGGTTTCGGATGGGGTGATCCCGGTTGATGTGGTGCTTGACACGGTAGACTTATGGGTTCAGTTGCATGATTTACCGATGGGTTACACGGCCGAACCGATTCTTGAACAGATTGGAAATTTTATTGGAACTTTCGTTAAACTAGACGACAGGTTCATTGGGGCAACATGGCTGACCTTCTACCGTATTCGTGTCTCAATACCGATAGACAAATCGATTAAGCGAAGAATGAAACTGCTTAAGCGGGACAAGACTACCTGCTAGGTCAATTTTAAGTACGAAAGATTACACACATTTTGCTTTTTCTGTGGTATGTTGGGCTACTCTTACAAGTTTTGCCTAAAAGCTAGGAATGCGGCAATACCGGTCGGCCAATTACCGTACTCTGCGGATTTGCGTGTGGGAGGGAGTCGGGGGCCACATGCAATAGGCGACCCCTGGCTAGTTCCGCTCGGTGGACGACCAAAGGGGGAGCCGACTGCAAATCAACCGGCGAAGCAGCCGGCAAACCATGCTGATCCGAGGGCGGTAGCGGCACAGGAGGCCGGGGAAGTGGTGGCTGCGGTTGCTAAACGATGCCGTGAGGGGGAAGGGAGGGGAGGAGATAGGCGGGAGGGTGGTGATGGTGATATGACAATGATTGGCAGTTCAAAAAACTTGCATATGGCGGGCTCTGGATCCCAGACCCGTCCGACCCAATGAGTACGTTGAGCTGGAACTGCCGTGGCTTGGGTAATCCACGGACAGTTCGTGAAGTTGTGGACATGGTGTCTCGTAAGCAACCCGACTTTGTATTTCTAATGGAGACTAAGGTGGGACGCGATCACGCTGAGCGGATTTGTGTCAAAATTGGCTTTGAAGGATTATTTTATGTTGATAACAGTGGTTTGAGTGGTGGTTTAGCATTGTTTTGGAGAAAGAATAATACGGCGAGACTCCTCAGTTACTCAAAGAACTATGTTGATGTTGAGGTAACTATAACTGGTTTTCCAGGTTAGCGAATGACGTGCTATTATGGTTTCCAGGAACGTACCAGACACACCGAGTCATGGGACCTCTTGAGGACGTTATCAGCCAGATCAAATCTCCCATAGATTGTTGTGGGGGATTTCAATGACTTGTTTTTTCAATATGAGAAGAGAGGGGGAAATCCGCATCCGAATAACCTCCTTCGCGGTTTTGGGGATACTATTGAGGACTGTGGGTTGGCCCAAATGCCTATGGATGGATATCCGTATACTTGGGAGAAGGGGAAGGGAACAGTTAATTGGATTGAGGAGAGGCTCGATAAGGTCCTAGTAACAGACGAGTGGCACAACATGGTGGCGAGGGCCAGGGTGACGAATTTGAGAATCCGAAAATCTGATCATTCGGCTCTATTTCTGGGAATCCATGAATCTTTAGGGAAGAGTGGGGCTGGAAAGAGGGGATTTCGTTTTGAGATGGCATGGTTATATGATGAGGGGTGTAGAGGTGTGGTCGAGCAGTCGTGGCAGGAAGGAAGGGGTCAAGGCTTGCAAAGCTGTATTGAGTACTGCAGTGACCGGTTAACACGATGGGGTGGAGATCGGTACCACAAGTACGGTAAACAAATTATAGACCTAAAGAAGGATCAGCAACAATTGAGGGGGTGCACTGACCCGGCCTCGCTTGCAGAGTTTCATCGCTTAGAACAGCTTCTAAGCCGCACTGAAGCCTAGGAGGATGCCTACTGGAGGCAAAGAGCCAAGCAACACTGGCTGAAGGAAGCCGATGCCAATACAAAGTTCTTTCACAGGTATGCTTCTCATCGTAGAAAGAAGAATATTGTATCTAGACTAATGAATGATAATGGGGATTGGGTGGAAGGGGAGCCTATGAAAAATGTTATTTTGGAATATTTCAATCATATTTTCTGTTCTGGAAATCCGGGATTTGGGGAGGGTTTCTTTGAAGGGATTATCCCGCGGGTCACTCAGGCACAGAATGAATCATTACTACGGCCTTTTGAATTAGAGGAGGTTAAAACTGCATTGTTTGCAATGTTTCCTGACAAAGCACCGGGCACGGATGGAATGAATCCGGGCCTCTATCAGCATTTTTGGGATGTGGTAGGGGGGATGTCGCGAGTTTTGTAATAGGCTGCCTTGACTCTCACAATTTTCCATCTGGTTTGAATAGTACGGATGTTGTTTTGATCCCGAAGAAGAATACCCCTGAATTGGTCACTGACTTGCGTCCTATAGCTCTCAGTAATGTGGTTTATAGGATTATGGCTAAGATGATAACTAATAGAATGAAGCCGCTAATGGAGGAAATTATATCGGAGTCACAGAGTGCCTTTATCCCAGATAGACTAATAACTGATAATATTTTATTAGCTGCGGAAGTGGGACATTTTTTGAATAGGAAACAGTGTGGAACGGTGGGGTGGAGTGCTCTCAAGCTAAACATGGCAAAGGCCTATGACCAGATGGAGTGGTCTTTTCTTCGTAACATGATGTTGGGGCTCTGGGTTTTGATGGTAGATGGGTGGAATTAATCATGAAGTGTGTAACCACAGTCTCTTATAATTTATTGGTGAATGGCTCTCGAAGTGACCCCATTATACCCACGCGTGGTTTAAGGCAGGGGATCCCTTGTCCCCCTATCTATTTATTATTTGTGCAGAGGGTCTTTCCCTATTATTGCAACATGCACATAGTACGGGGTCAATTCATGGTTGCAGAGTAGCAAGAGGTGCTCCCCCAATCTCTCATTTATTTTTTGCTGATGATAGTCTTTTATTTTTTAAGGCTAATGTGGAGGAAGCCAATGAGATAAAGAGATGCCTATCAGTTTATGAGGATTTATCTGGGCAAGTGGTTAATTACCACAAGTCAAGCATATGTTATAGCAGAAATACAAATAACACAGACATGAAAGTTGTGGCGCAAGTTTTGGGAGTGGTGCAGGCTCCTAATTTTGGCAAGTATTTGGGACTTTCCTCTTTTGTTGGAAGGAACAAGAAGGCAGCCTTCTCATATATTGAGGCTAAAATCCGGCAAAGAATTGGGTCGTGGAACAAGAGGTTACTATCATAGGCAGGCAAGGAGATTTTATTAAAAAGTGTAGCACAATCTATGCCTACCTTCTCAATGAGTGTCTTTCTGCTGCCAATATCTGTGTGCACAGCGATTGAAAGAACTATGAATCGCTACTGGTGGGACTCTGGAACTGATAGGCGAATACATTGGAAGGCATGGGATAAGTTGTGTGTCCCTAAGAAATATGGAGGGTTGGGTTTTAAGGATTTGCGTGCCTTTAACCTAGCTATGTTAGGGAAGCAGGCATGGCGAATGCTTACTAAACCCGAGTCCCTAGTGGCTCGTGTCTATAAGGCTCGTTGTTATGCCAAGGGTTCATTTTTTTGATGCACAGATAGGGAGTAACCCCAGTTTCTGTTGGCGGAGTATTATGACAGCCAAGAGTATAATTTGTAGTGGGATAAGGCGCAGAATTGGAAACGGGGAGTCTACACTCATATGGACTCATCCCTGGATACAGGATGGTCAAGACCCCATGGTACAAACAGAAATGCCAATGCAATTAGAAGGAGCCAAAGTGGTGGGATTGATAGATCAACAGACTGGTACATGGGACCATTCAATTCTAACTGATTTATTTCAACCTAGTGATGTGGCAAATATTCTAAAAATACCTGTTTCCCCGGAGTATGATGATACTTGGTATTGGCATGGAGACCCGATAAGAATTTATTCTGTAAAGTGTGGATACAGGCTAATAGTTGGAGATTATGAAAGTGGTATTGGGACCTTTACAAAGTGGTTGACCCTATGGAAACTCAAAATCCCCCCAAAATGGAAAATGTTCCTTTGGAGAGCCATTTGTGATATTTTGCCTACCACTACTAACTTGCTTATAAAGAGAGTGGATATGGATCCACATTGTGCCATGTGTGAAATATCTCAGGAGGATACTATGCATGCCTTAGTGTTGTGCGAATTTGCAAAGAACATATGGGAACAATCCAACCTTCCAATCCCCAATATTGTGACAAACGCTTTTCATATTTGGTTTGGTGAACTCCTAAATGTTTTAGACTCTGATGGGGTATTATATGCATCATCAATTCTATAAAATATTTGGAGAGCACGAAACGGGGCGATTTGGGACGCATTCCTACCGCGGCCATCATCCTTGCTCGCGGCTGCTGTGGCTATCATGCATGCATGGACACGGGCGCGCCCGACATCTGCGGCCCGAAGCCACACTCTGCCGCCCGCATTGCCACAGCCGCAAGGGGAGGCCGATGCTCACACTACTGCACAGCCCGCACCACCGCTAAAGCGTTGTCGAGTCGACGCCGGGTATTTACACGACACAGGCAAGGCCACAGTTGGGGCAATTCTTCTGGATGTGAATGGATGATATGTCTCGGCCTTCAGTGCGCCTCTCCCGAATTGCTTCTCACCGCTTATGGCCGAGGCGTTGGCATGCAAGGAAGCCTTATCATGGTTGAAGGATCGGGGAAAACAAAACATCGAGGTATATACAGATTTTTTGACACTACAACGCTATCTTACTACGCCACTTGCTGCGTTTCGCTCTTACGTCGGCTATGCCATTGACAGCTGCAGAGCAGCTGCGTCTTTATTTCAGTCTTGTTCGTTTAATTTTATTACTAGACTAGATAATTATTTAGCTCATGCTTTAGCTACTTCGGCTTACCAGCAACCTGCTGCTATGTACTGGGATCTTCTCCCACCTGACATTATATCGGCTTATTTCTAATGAAGTACCACATATATTTCAAAAAAATATTAACAAGATGACTTGAATCTGTGAATGCATAACTCTAAAAGTGAATACAAATTTTTGCACTTCTGATCTATGCAATTCTATTTTTTTGCACATATCAACTCCAGAATTGTATGACTACACATACATAACTTCATAACTATAGATCCATAATTGCATAACTACAAATCCATAAGTTAATAACTGTACATCCATAATTGCATAACTACAAATCCATAACTACATAACTATACATCCGGAATTTCGTAACTACAAATCCATCACTATGAAACTACACATCCAGAATTGCATAACTACACATCCAGAATTACATAACTATAAATCCATAATTGCATAACTATAAATCTAGAATTGCAAAACTACACATCCAGAATTGCATAACTACACATCCATAATTGGATAACTATAAATCCATAATTGCATAATTGTAAATCCATAATTGCAAAACTACACCTCCAGAATTACAAAACTATAAATCCAGAATTGCATAAGTTCAATGATAACAACTTGTATTAACACACTCTCAACCTACACCTACATTGTCATCTAAACCCTTACTAAACTGAACAAACTCTAAACTCGAAGAACTTGGATGTACGAGGTATCCATCCCCAGCAAGCTTGGATATGCCTTCCAAAACCAAAGATTGAACAGCACCCTTCGTACTCGAAGCAACTTTATTTGCAGCACTCCTTCTCCCCCTTGCAAGACTGTACTTCTTTTCAATAACACTACTCCTCCTTTTATTACGCTCACATTTCAATCTTCGGCTTGAAGGATTTTGTACACCACCACTTGAAGATGAAACACTACCCTCTTCAATATGCACATACCCAATCTCAGCTTCAACCTTTTTCTTTGCATCCTCAACAGCTTCATCACAAAATTTTCTAGCTACGCTGCTATCTTGACTAGAAACAATCAATCTTTGAAATTTCCTACTAATATCAAAAACCCAAATTGAAGGAGGGACACCAACATTATAAACCATAGAAGCAATGCCCACATTCCTACCATCAATAACCTTTTCATTCCATCTTTTCAGGATATATTTATCAGGGATACTAGAAACACAATGCACATGAAGAATACGTAGACAATGGCATCATAGAATTCCCAACTCAGAAATCAACTTGCAACTGCAAGAAATGTCCAGGTTGGCTGGGTTAAAACTAACTCCATGCCTTATAATGTCTATATTTGGCCGCCACACGTAATAGTGCTGACAATCATCATTCAACACCATTTCTTGATGACAAGCACTGCCTTTCATAAATTGTTCCTCAAACAAAAAATCTACCTCAATAGTATATACCTCTCGAGCATGTGAAAAAGTTTCACGTGCTCCATCATCATAGCGGGTACCCCTTGAGCACAACGAAAATCTTCACCATTCTCTTTACTTCTCCATTCAGAAATTACACTTACAAACGATGAATAGAAATCACAAAGACCAGTAGTCTTAGACAACCTTCTAGGAATTGAATGATTTATAGTTTCACTCATTTGCGACGATAAAATGCCCCTAGAAAAATAATCCTTGTTAAATGTTGGAAACCACTTCTCCCTACAGTCATAAAGCTTTTCTAATCAAGTATTCTTGTGACACTTATAGTCAGTCACCAACCTGAAAATGATAAGACACAAGCACTAATGTTTATGAAACAGAATAAAAACAAGATCACCACATCTCTAACACATGTTCAGAACTCTACTGCTATATATCCATAATTGGTATACTATACATCCATAATTGATAGACTATACATCTATAATTCATATACTACATGTTCAGATCCCAACAGTAAGTTCCAATGCTATGCATCCATAATTCATATACTACATGATCAGAAAGCCTAATACTATATATATATATATATATATATATATATATATATATATATATATATATATATATATATATATATATATATATATATATATATATATATATGCAATAAATATGCAATGTAATCCAGCAAAAACCATTAATTACTAACATACCTTGTCCAATAAAATTCAAACTCAGCTTCAGTCTCTGTGTATTTCAACACATAGTTAAACATATCCGAGAAATCCTTATTATTCCTTAACGTCTTGATATGCTTCTTTGAATTCTCACCAATATTCCATATGCAAAGGCGATGACGTGATATGTTGGAAACACTTGAGAAATAGCAGCAGCCATAGCTGCACATTGATCTGTCATGATAGACTATGGACACTTGCCACCCATGGATCTTAAAAACGCTCTAAACAACCACACAAATGATTCTATCCTCTCATTTGTCAAAAACCCGCATCCAAACATTACGTTCATGCAATGATGATTCACCCCTACGAAAGGGCCACAAATCATATCATATTTGTTGGTGTGATATGTCGTATCATGCATAACAAATCCCCAAAGACCTCATAATCTCGTCTCATTTGACCATCCCTCTAAAAAAAAATTGCACAATCTTGCATCCGAATCATGTTCAAAATCAAAGAAAAAATCAGACTCGGTAGACTGCCTCCCCCTAAATATTTCAATTAAAGAGTTAGAATCAGTTCCATCCAATCGCTTAAATGTATCAGCAGCCAATGAATTATAATCATCTCTATTGGTGAAACCCACTAATGGAGACCCCCCTGCTTGATGTTTCAAGAACCTAATACCATCCGCAAGTGCAACCCCATTGTCCTTCAAACCTTGTAAATATAAGAGCTGATTATCTCCCACACTTCTATGTGAACGAAGTAGATGACTCGTGTTGAACACACATAACTCATGATTGTGCACTTTCTCATGTTTTATAACTGTCCACAACCCATCATCACCTACATCAAACTAAACAAATGCACCACACTCTGTCCTTGTGTCAATTTTTGAATAAGCCTTAACCCCACTCTTTGCCTTATAACCAACCTTAGAACAGGAAAACTTCTTCATTTAAATTGTGTTAGTAGATCCCTTGTAACGTTGATGACCCTTCCTCACACTAAAACCAACTCTATATGCATAATTGTTATACAACTCATAAGCCTCATCAACATTACTTACTACAGCACTAACCAAATCTTGATCAACTGCAAATATACCAAAATAATAATCATTTCTACTAAGATATAATTCCTAACCAGAATTTGCTAAATAAAGGTGAAAAACTAGAAATAAACCTGGAATTGAAGAAGAGCCATCAATGTCTAAATTTGCTTGGTCTGAACTTAACGAAACATCCACAACACCTTCACTAACTGCATTACATAAATGTTGTGAATATTATTTCATACAGTTCATCAAAACAGCAAAAATAGAGTACCTACAAATTCTGAATATATTGTTATGCAATTCTGGATATATAGGTATGCTATTCTAGATATATAGTTATGCTATTCTGGATACGCATACGCAAAGAATTGTCAAAACAGAGTACCCACAAATTCTGAATATATAGTTATGCAATTCTGGATATGTAGTTATGAAATTATGGATGTGTAGTTATGCAATTCTGGATGTATAGATATGAAATTATGGATTTTTAGTTATGCAATTCTGGATTTATAGTTATACAATTATGGATATATAGTTATGCAATTATGTATAAATAGTTACAAAACCACCAAACTCACATTCATTATGCCGCAATCAAACTAAATGGCAGATTCTAAACACAAAAATCAATCAAACACACTGCTAACATCAAATTTATCGCAATAGATATCAAAACCATAAAAATCGCAGAGGAACAAATGCAAAAACAATTGCAAAATACAAATCACCTTGAATCGAATGCACACCATCAACCACTGAATCTGTTTGATCTGTTGCCTCCTCCATCTAACATTCAATATTCGCAACTGCGAATGCGATTACGATTGCACATACTTTGAATGCGAATTCCACAATGCCTAACTGCCAAAAACGGATATGGAAACTTGTATAGCGAAAGGAGAAAAACGTCGTTAACAAAATTTTTTTTAACAGACTGAATGCCGCATCATTACTCCAAAACGACGTCGTTTGCATCCGTATGCACCATGCATGGTGCATACGGATGCACGGCATAATTTTCCAGTTAGGCCTATAATGGGTAGAAAAAATGGCGGTCAAATTTTTTAATCAAATGAATGGCTCAGATTGATTAGATTTTAATTTTTCCTTAAGATTTCCTACTTTATCCTTAATGAATATGATTATTTGTTAACTTTTCCGTTAAATATTATCTTTTCCGTTAATTTCTGTTAGTTCACCGTTAACTTACTCATTGATTTCAATAAGAAAGGTCTTAGGTTTGATCCCCATCCCAATCAAAGTTGGCATAATTAGTACTCTA